TACACTGTGATGACTGTGACAAATGATCAACCTCACTGTACCTTAGTTTTCTTGCTCATGGGGTGGGGACACTGAGTGTAGTTACTTCATTGCGTTGTTGGATGGAATAAATAAATGAACCTATGTCAAGTTCTGGATCAATGGCTGGCACATGAGACATGCTATCTGAGGGCTGCTTTTGCCATTCTCATAGTGCCACCATTTCTGCTCAATGACTTTTGGGAGGAAATCGCAGATTTCCTTTACGGACTGAGAAATCTCTGAGGTCCTTGGGAAATGACGCTTGGAATAGCGTGTGCACTTGTAGCTGTAATCCCATAGGGAGCAGCAGGCCACTTATCCCACAGACTGCCCGTGTACATTCATACCCACACCACGCCTCGCCAGCTGACTGTGCTTCCCACTCAACTTCTCTTTTTTTCAGCCTCCTGGCAGATTTCAGGGCAAATACAAAGTTGCCTCTTGCATTACTCTGAGGAGTCAGCTAGATATAACTTCCTTATGCAATAATATTTGATGCTATGCTCAGTGGTTAAGAACAGAGGTCCTCTGTTCATATCCCAGCCGTGTTGTTTTCCTAACTTTGCTTTCGATGACCAGTCAACACAGCAGCTCTGTGTGCCTCCGTTTTGTCTTTTAGATGGTGGGAATAATATGGGCCCCCATTTTGTGGAGTGTTTGGGATGATTAAATAGAATATGCAAATCCCAAGAAGATTGCCTGGCAGATATGTTGAGCACATGTCATAGTCCCTACATGATTTAGTATCTCAGGTGAAGAGAATCTTTGGTCTCTTGAATGATCAGTAACTCTGGGGTGGCAGGGAGGAAGTCCCAAGGACTCTATGCTAGAAAGTTAATTAACTTGAATAATTAATTTTAAACATGAGAAAATAGCTATATATTGGATCATCTATTTGTTTTACAACCACTTAAAATTGCCTAATTGGCTAGTAGCTCATTCCTATAATCCTATCTACTCAGGGGACTGAGATCTGAGGATCGTGGTTAGAAGCCAGCTTGGGCAAGAAAGCCCCTGAGACTCTTGTTGCCAATGAACTACCTCAAAAAAAGCCAGAAGTAGAGCTTTGGCTCAAGTGGTAGAGTACTAGCCTTGAGCACAAAAGCTCAGGGACAAGGACAGTACCCAGGCTCTAAATTCAAGCCCCAGAACTGGCACAGAATACCAAACACACACACACACACACACACACTTAAAACACACACACACACACGCAGACACACAGACACACACACCCTCTTAAAAACTGGCCTAGTAATACAAATAGAATAAATCACAGAGTTGGAAAGAACTCCAAAGGATGTTTAGTCCAACAACTCCTCACTAGCCTGTTTCCCCCAGCCTGCCTCTGGGGTGGTTATTTGGTCTGCTTCTCTGGGGGTAAAGGGGGTTTAGTTTTATTCCCATTGTCCTTGGGATCTCTCCCATGTGTAATGTGCACCCATACCAGAGTGCTGTGAGTCATATATGCAGCACATGCAAGCACAGGGAACTTCCCATTGTGGTGGTTTTCAGATGGGAATAGTGTGGGTGCTGATGATTGGAATACTAGTGAGAATGCTAGTTTTCTGGACATTAGTTTTTCAGGGAATGAAACACAGCCAATGAAATCAAGTGAGAGGAAACCAATGTGCTCTCATGTTCATGGTTTAGATGTTCTACTAACGGTGAGAACAGTCAGAAATTAGATTGACTATTGGAGCAGGAACTGTGGAGGTGGACAACTCAGGGGCTAGAAAAGGCCCTGGGAGGGGCTGGGAAGGTGGCTCAGTGGTAGAGCACTTGCCTTGCATGCATGAGTCCCTGGGTTCGATTCCTCAGCACCACATAAGAAAAGAAAAACCCGGAAGTGGTGTTGTGGCTCAAGTGGTAGAGCACTAGCTTTGAGCTGAAGAGCTGAGGGACAGCGCATAGGCCCAGAGTTCAGGCCCCATGACCGGACCCCCCCCCCCTCCAAAAAAAAAAAGAGGCCCTGGGAATGACTCACCACTTAGAAATGATTCCAGACCAAGGTGAAGACCAAAGAGAATAAGGGACTTGGCCACTACAGCTGTCTACTATGAGGACGCAGCCTCAGTGGTCCCCTCGGTCGGAGTCTCTGTTACACTCCTCGTTGCCAGTGTGGTTTTCAGTCATTTGGGGATGTCTTGGACATATCTCTGCCTCAGTTTCTTACCTGGAAAAGGGAAATAACAATTTTTATGTGGATTACATAGGTATAAAGCACATCTTAGAATAATGCCAGGTACATAGAAGCATAGTGTTTATTAATGGCCTTTCAAAGAATCACAGGAATATCAACACACCATTTCCGCGCCCCCCTCCCCGCCCCAGCATAGTTATTTGAGCTCAGAGTCTCTTCTTGGCTTCCAAGAAATGCCTCCTGCCACTTGAGCCATATCCCCAGCCTTACCTCTTTCCCCCTTGGCTTATTTTTCAGGGTCGTATACTTTTTATATAGCTAATCTTCCTGCTTGCACTTTCCACATAGCTGGGGTGATAGGTATGTACCACCATGCCAAAATAACTTTTTTTTAAACCAAGGCTGGCCTCAAACCATGGTCTTCCTAACTTCCACCTACCAAGCAGCTGGGATTATGTGTACTGGCTGCTGTGCCTGGCTAGATAGGTCATCTCCTAATCAAGCCAATGAATAAGTGTTTTCACCAGGCTGCTGAACAAAAGTTATTTTTTGTCTCACTGAAAAAGAGTATGGGTTTGATTTCTTTTTTATTCTGGTTCAAAGCGATTTTTTTTTTCAGGATCCATCTATGAACTCACAACTGTTTTCTCCTTTGGAATCCCTTTGGGACATTTAGATTTAAAAGTGACTCTTCCTTATTTGTAATTACCAATTCATATTCATCAAATGTGGAATAATGTGCTATATAAGGTGTCCCCATTGTGTCAGTTTTGGGGGTAAGGCCCCACATGGTATGAGGAAACCTTAATAAGGGAGAGTAGAGTCAACAACTATTTTACAGAAAATGGAAAGAGACTTTGTGCTTGATTTCAATGATCAAGAGAATATTCCAGAAAAGATAAAGGTTGGGACCTCAGTGACAAGTTGGATTCTTGATAAGGCTGAATGGGGAGGCTGGGAAAGAACTGACCAGGCATGGAGACAGTATGTGGGTGTCCCTCTGAGTGCTTGGGATTGGGCCAAGATGAGGTGTCTGTGCTTACCAATGTATCCAGCATTTAACAAGTGCTCATGAAACATTGCTTTACATGATGGGGATTGAGAGAACAAGAAGGTGGTATTCTTACTTTCCCGGGAGTTATAGAAGGAGGACAGAGCCATGAAGATTCATGCCGGAAGAACTGCTCAAGGAGAGATGATCAGGGAGCCTACAGGATCAAATGACAAGTGAGGATGGGACATGGATCAGCAAAGCAGGAAGGAGGTGGGGGAGACAGAGGCACATCAGAGGCCAAGAATTCAGAAGTATCTTGACTTGTTGGGGAAACTGGCCAGAGGGCAGGGTGTGCTGATGTGTGGAAGGCATGGAGAAAGTATATGTACAATTCAAAGGGTAGTTCATCAGCATGGCTCTGATGGATACCACCATGAAAACAAGAAAAGGAACCTTTAACACCCTGTTGGAAGTAGCTTGGTGTGGTGTGATTGGGAGTAAACAGTAGGGTAGGTTTCTAAAGGTATTAAAAACAAAACTGCTGAATGCCCCAGAAGTTCTTCTTCTGAACAAATACTAAGAGAATCTAAAATCACCATCTTGTAAAGATCTATGAATTCTCATATTTATTGCAATATTATCTATAGTAACTAAGATATGGAATCAACCTAAGGGTCTATAGACAGAGATATGGATAATGAAAATGTGTTGTGTACCTATGAATATGTATGTATGCATATACATATAATAGAATATTATTCAGCCCTATAAAAGGAGATCCTGGTGTTTGCTACCACATGGATCTTAGAGAAATCATACCAAGTAAAATAAGCTATAGTAGGAAAGAAAAAATATTACATGATCTCATGTGTGTGTGTGTTTTCCAGGCAAATTTATAGAAATAAGCAATGGTTGCCAAGGATGGGGATGGAATATGGAAGAGGATAGGAAGATATGGGTCGAGGGATACAAGGTAGCAGATACTGAGATAAACAACTCCAGATATCTAGTGTACAACTGGAAGATTCCAGTTAATAAAGTTGTATTTATTAGGGAAATTTCTTAAATATGTAGATTTTAGCTCCACTTGACACACACGCACGCACACCCTCCCCTCCACACAGAGTAGTTCTATGAGATGATAAATTTGGTGACTAGCCTTAAATAGTAACCATTTTTATTATCAATATATATATATATATATATATATATATATATATATATATCCTCTAACCTCATGTGGTAAATTTCAAATATGGCCCAAGTGGTAGCACACCATCTGTGGGAGAAATATTCACCATACAACTTATCTTTTAAAATCCATAACCAATATTTCAAAGATTTGGATTGGGTTGTTGATATAAAGGAGGATTTAGAACATTTATCCTATGAATGAGTTAAAACACACACACACATACACACACCCTACATATACATATGCAGAATCTTTTCAATACCTGAAAGCTTTTGGGAAACTCTTAGGTTCAATCATCTCATCTCTGAAGCAGGGCTTAGCCCTCTGTGTTTTGTAAGTAAACGCTCAGTTTGTAATATAGCAGGTCAATGGGCTGCTTAGCCCAACACCACGGCTCTGTGGGTGGGTTCTGGATACCCCAGTGTTTTCTGTGGTGCTCTTCACCCATTTCTAATTACCTTTGTGAGCTTTCTATTCCTGTCTCATCTCTTTGGATGTAAGATTCTGCTTCAAAAGCACTTTCCATCCAGTTTGAACTTGGCAGGTCCAGTCTAATCCTCCATGTCCTTCTCTCCTTTCCTGGATTATCTGTCTCTGTGTTGAATTACAACCACAGGGGAGACTCATGGCTGTTGCTTTGTCCCCAGTTGACAGCTTTGGGGATGGTGAAGAAGCATCGACATCTTCTGAGAGTGATGAGGACGTGATCAAACAATTTGAGATTTCGGTGTCGCGATCCCAGAGTTTCCGTGCAGCATCTGAGAAGGGAAAGACAACAGAATTGAACCAGAAACTCAAATGCAGCCGTTTGCTCTCAAGCCATGAAGAAGACAGCACAGAAGCAGGTGTGTACGGAGGTATTCCTTACACTATAATTTCCCTGTACCAATTTCCCTAGACCAAGGATGTAGGTGTATGGTAAGAATATTTTTGAATCACCTAAATACTGTACATCTAAGAGTCCAGAGAGGAAAAGAAAATGAAGCAAATGATGCAAAATAATCAAGAGAGAGGATGCAGAAAGAACAATATAGTCTCCCTCCCTCCCTTCCTTCCTTCCTTCCTTTGTTCCTTCTTTTTGTCAGTTGTTTGGTTTGAATTCAGGGCCTGGACAATGTCCCTGAGCTCTTCTGCTTAAGCCTAGTGCTCTACCACTTTAAGCCACAGCTCCACTTCCTGTTTTCTGGTGGTTAATTGGAAATAAGAGTCTCATGAACTTTCCTGCCCAGGCTGGCTTTGAACTACAATCCTCAGGTCTCTGCTTGCTGAGTAGCTAGGATAATAGGCATGAACCACCAGCACCCAGGTCCAAATAGTATTTCTTAGTGCTTTACCAGCAAAGGGCAGGCATTCCTCTGACACCTTTCTGCCCAAAGCCCTGATGAGGCACAGATACTGGAACAAAGAAGGGTCTGGGAAATGTAATTAATAAAAAATCAAGAGATTGCTGGGTCTTAGGGAAACTGTCTGTGGAGTCTTTTGAGGAACCTCCATACTGCTTTCCAAAGTGGTTGAACAAGTTTACACTCCTACCAACAATGCAGTAAGGTTCCCTTCTGTCCACATCCCCTCCAGCATCTGTTGTTATTAGAGTTCTTGATTATAGCCATTCTAACTGGAGTGAGG